TAAATTTGAATTTACTACAGATACTTGAAATTTCTGGACCTATAGTTTGAAAATCTAAAGGTGTATACTTATACAAAAAGTAAATGAGAAAACAAAATCGTAACATGTAATGTATGAGTCTTAAAATAATAAACTTTGCAAAAACCATGGTCAACAATCATACGTCCGTATCTTGTTATCGTGACATTTCATGAAATTTGAAATACGGTTATAATCAACTCATCTAGCATGATTATTAATGTTATCCTTAAATGATTTAATACGTCTAAAGCATAATTCAAAATATATTATCATGAGAAGAGTAAATACGTGTTGTACTCTTTTTCTCTTGCCCAAGATTTTGTACCATTGGATTTTCCTGATAAGATTTTTGAAAAGGCAACTTTTGTGACTTATTCAAAAGAATATTATATTCTTTTTCTTTTATTAGGATTTTTCTCATAGAATTTTTTTCTAATAAGGTTTTAACAAGGCATATTCTTTGTAATGATGTTCATAACATAGAAGATATTTACCCTCAAAATAATATTCATTTATGTATGAAACTCTCAAAGAGACCAACAAAAGCTATTTTTCAAATCATCATATTTTTACAGTCATCAAAGGTATCTCATATGAAGACAGTATTATTTGAAAACTATACTAGACAATATAAGACATACTTTCACAAGAAATTGTAATATTGAAGACAATGACACACAAGACATGTATCGCTGGATACAAGAATTTTCACTTATTGAAATCATGGGGAGTAGCTGTATTTTTTTTTTTTTTTTCCTTCGGTCAAATTTTGTCTCATTGGATTTTCTTCACAAGGTTTTAACGAGACATCATTTTATTATTCCAAATTATTTGTACTATTTTTTCATTTTTTGATATTTTTCTCCCATTGAATTTTTTGCTAAACAATGTTTTAAAATAATCATTCAAAAGAGAGTGTTGTAATAAAATAGTATACACTTGTAGCCTTAGATTTTATTACTATTATATCCCCTATATCTCCAAATTTTCCCTATAAATATGAGGCTTTATTTCTCAATTTAATACATAAAAATTTATTGACTTCTGTCTTTTGTTCTCTTTTTCTCTCTAGTATATAACACACATTACAAATTTTAACATATAACCACTCAGATTTTAAAATCTTAAAATTTGGTGATGTGTCAACAATCTAATTTTGGCAGCCAATAGGATCGGGACAATAAATTTTGCCTCTTAAATGTGAGCGAAATCAAGTTAAATAGTTTTTAATTTAGGAAAAAGTTTTTTGTCCAAACCTTTCAATATCGGTGCAAATGTCCCAAACTTTTTCATATTAGCATTATTTGTACTTTTTGGATGGATTTCATCCAGAAGACCGCTAGTTTAGCACTTGGGCTACATTTTCTTTTAAGAGTAAATTGCACATGTATACCAATTGTTGATGATGAGTGTATTTTGTACATTTATTTGAGTTTTTAAGTTAGAGTATTTATTGGTTATTTTGATGAATTATAGTTTAACTCTATGTATATTATGTTTGTTAGCTACAATCGACATAAATGACGGAATTGAAGAAAAATGGTGACAAGGGCAAATTGTAAGAAATTCAAAGTTTGGGGACTAAAGTGTAAATACTCAAAAGTTGTGTCGAATCTCAAGATGAAGATTCAAGATGCATTAGGGGTCAATTGGATGAGAAAAGAAATCAAAGTGGTGAAATATAGTTCAAGTCCTTGCATAAAAAACTATACTTCGAATTTTCAACCTAAATTTGAGACCTATTTTTGACATAGTAAACATTCGAATTAGAAACATGATATTTTTAGAAGCCTTGTAGCCCTTTGAGTTAACTTTTCAAAGCACTTAAATTGCCTTATCGAAAATTGGGAGAGAAAGTTATGACAAATATTGATGGCTGCTCGGGAAATACCTAGGCGGGCCAGTACAATTTTCGAGGTGCATTCCTAACCTCTTCCCTTGACCACCTGGGCCAAATTCACCCTTTTAGGTGTGTACCTCACCTGTAACTAGAAGCGCACCTTGAAGAAATTTAGGACAAAAAAATTTGTTTTATTTTCTTGATTCGATAAGTTTTGATATGTGATCTTTTGCATCCTTTATAACTCAAAGAATGTCCAAAAGGTGACCCATTATTTTATCATTGAAGAAAGTCTAGCAAGCAGCGAAGAAGAATTTTACAACAAAATTTGAAATTACAAAGCTCAAATTGAAGATTGAAGTGTAAGAAATCATGTTTTTGAATTCTCCATCTATTTTTTTTTTACATGTGTAATGTCTTTCCATATCTTGTATAATTTGAATATCATAATACTGGGCAAAACTTCTTGTGTATTGGATGAATAATGAAACCTTTTGAGTTATATTTCTTACAACTAACTACCAGCTCTACAATTGGTGCTAACTGAGTTCTAATAAATATTGCGAATTTAGGTGGGAAATGCTCCTCCTAAATTTGCAAAATTAGGTGGTGGTTGTGGTTCTATAATTGAAGTTTGGCAAAGGTGGTGATTGAGGGGGTGGTTGTGATGGTGGCAGCAGCTAGATGTAAAAGGGGAATGATTATGTTTGGGTTGAGAACTGTGGCGATGACTACAATTGAGGGTGGTGGTGGTTTTTGGTGGGTTGGGTTGAGTTGATGAATATTACTTTTACTTTTATTTTAATTATATTTACTTAAAGATAAGAATAAATTTGTCTTTTAAAAATATATTAATAAGATAAACCCATCAGTGATCTTATCCCCGAATGAAGTGACAATCGATCTATGTATGCTTCGCTTCATCCATTCATGACAGATAGGATTAGTAGAAATATCGATTTTAGCTTGATTATTACATAACATACTCCATTTGATGATCTTCAACAAGTTTCTTATTACCTCCACATATGTATTTTCCACATAAACATATGGGCCGGTAGATGCTAAGCTCTTCCCAGATAGTTTTCAGCTTAGTGAAGCAAGTGCTAACCAACAATTGTCCCTGTGTAAGGTTCATCAATGCACACCCTAATTGAAATATGCGTGGACCATTTTTCTGTTGATAACATTCCTTGAGATCTATCTAGATCTCGTGTGCAGACTCAGAATTTATCATACTTACAAATATCTCCTTGGATATAGAGTTGAGGATCTAAGAGATTAGGGTACGTTTGATAGCCTAGAAAATGGGTGGAAAAGGAAAATATTTTTTAACTTTAGCCAATTATAGGTGTTAGATAGCACAAATTTTCCTAATAAAATGTTTTCTACCTTTTTCTAGTTTTCCACCTTTTTTTTTTGCTTTTTTTTTTTATTGCAATGAGAAAAAATTCTAAATACAATGGTAAAAAAAAATTCACTTTTATTGACAACTTCCATGCAAAAAAAGTCAAACGAATGATATTCGGTATAGTAAATTTTTTTTTTCAAATTTTTTTTTTTAATAATTGGAACAAATTTTAGATCCAATGGTAGAAAAAATTATCACTTTAATGGACAAATTCCATAAAAAAGAAGCCATATGAACACCAAACTTTCAACATTTTCCGTGAAAAATTATGTCAATGAAACACAATTAATTACAATTCTCAATAAAATATTTTTTAAGAAAATCAATTCCCTGTAAAACATTTTATTTCCACCCTTACAATCAAACGGACCCTTACTATATTATTGTTGAAGATCATAAGTTGAGTAGATCATCAGTACTCTCAGGTTGTAGAATTGATCCATCAATAAATCCTAATTTGTTCTTCACCGATAAGGCTATCACCAGAGTTCGACTCCAAGAGGCATAATTATCCCTTGTTAAAGGTTGTGAAACAAGCACAAGACCTAGACTATCTAAGTGGTGAAGAAAGAATGGACTAGATCCATCATTAATGGTGAAATTGCTCGTTGATGATGAAGAAGCATGAAGTGATTGATTCAATGCATCTCTGGTCATGATTGATCAGAATCCTCAATCAAACTGTAGTAATTAATGGAGTTAACCAGATCTAGAAACCACAGTGACAAAGAAGCAAACGTGCTATGATAGCATATTGAATAAGAGAGATGTGGATGTAAAGAACAACTTTTCATATTCAATTTAACTTCATTTGCAATACAACGAATTATACAAATAGAAAGTTGAGCTGACTAACTACTTAACAAACAACAAATTGACAGCTCCACATAAACTGTCAGCTATGGAACTAAAACTAACGACCAGCTATACAATTGGCGCTAACTGAGTTCTAATAAATATTGTGAATTTAGGTAGGGAAATTCTCCTCCTAAATTTGCAAAATTAGGTGGTTGTTGTGGTTCGATAATTGAAGTTTGGCAAAGGTGGTGATTGAGGAGGAAGTTGTGATGGTGGCAGCAGCTAGATGTAAAAGAAGAATGATTATGTTTGGATTGAGAATTGTGGTGGCGACTGCAATTGAGGGTGGTGGTGGTTTTCGGTGGGTTGGTTGGAGTTGATGAATATTATTTTTATTTTTATTTTAATTATATTTACATAAAGATAAAGACAAATTCGTCTTTTAAAAATATATTAATAAGATAAACTTACTTTTAATAACTTGAAGATTGGGGATAAAATAAGACACTAAATTTGTTAGAGACATGATTACTACTTTTGTCAAGGTTTGGACTACATATACAATTGGTACCTCAATAAAGTTGAATGTACAACTTTATTTGACAATTTTTTTGACAGCCCCCTCACATGTAGGCGAGACTCACGATTGTGGGCCCCACCCCCATCTGAGAGGGCTGTCAAATAAAGCAGTAACTGTAGCCTGGTTCATCCAAATTAATTGAAAATGACAAATTATGCCAGGAATGCAAATGTTTGGGGCACCAAAATCGAAAATTTTGGACCAAAAACGTAAGATGGACAAAGGTTTGGACCATTGGCACCAAGTTCCAGAAAAATAGAATTTGGAATATTAATTGGTGCCAAGTTGGATTAAAGCCAAAGGTGTTGAAGATGACGGTTTTGCCTTTGTGAACATGCAATACCATTCCCATGCGGCTCATAACCAGCAGGGGACTCGGAACTATATGGAAACGGCAAATTCACAGTCTTCCAACACCAAACCTGTTGGTTCTTCACACAATTTGTGGATTCCACTCCTCATCCTCACTGCTTGCTCTGCAACTCAATGATTATCTTCTGAACAAGTCACCATCCCATCTGTCTGAAGCGAGAAAATTACACTCTCTCCTGCTGGTTGCTGGTTTCTTTAACCCAAACAGCAGACTCTCACACTTGTGTTCCCGACTGGTGCACATCTATGTCGAATTTGGCTGTCTGGAGGAAGCCCTTTTCGTCTTCCATAGACTTCCTCGCTACCAGACTATCGCTTGTAACGCCATACTCAGGGGCTACATTGACTCAGGACAGTTTGCTCGTGCAATTAATTTCTTCTTCCATGACTTGGTATTCAAACTAGGCTTTGTCCCGGATAATTACACTTGTCCGCTTATCTTAAAGGCCTGTTCGCGATTATCTGATCTTGAACAAGGGAGAAAGGTGCTCGATTTGATTAGTTTCAACGAGGCTCACCACAATTTTAAACCCAATACTTACACGAAATGTGCCCTTATTGACATGCTTACCAAATGTGGAAGCTTGGAAGAAGCACGGATGGTTTTCGATGATATGCCTCAGACAGAAAGAGACTCTGCCTCGTGGACTGCTGTGATTTCTGGTACTGTACAGAATGGGGAATGGCTTGAAGCACTGAGTTTATACAGAAGGATGAGAGTTGAAGGGGTGCAACCTGATTCCATGATAGTGGCTGCTCTTCTACCTGCCTGTGGTAGATTTCAAGCCAAGAAAGCCGGAACGGCCCTCCATGGCTGTGCTGTGAGGAGTGGTTTTTACTGCGATTTGTTTGTTTCCAACGGTCTCATGGATATGTACTGTAAATTTGGAGACACCGGTGAAGCTTGGCATATATTTTGCACCATGTCCGGTAAGGATATGATCTCTTGGAGCATCTTGATTGCTGGTTATTTGCAGAATTGTGAGTATGGAAGGTGCATTGAGCTGTATTTTGAGATGAAGAACTTGGGTGTAAAACCTAATGCAGTTACTGCATCAAGTCTCCTTTCTGTTCTTGGAAAGCTCAATTTGTCGAAACAGGGAAAAGAGATGCATGGGTATATCCTCAAGCAAAGATTTGATATTGATGTTGTTGTGGGGAGTGCACTGATTGACATGTATGCTAACTGTAGTTTGATTAGAGAAGCAGAGATGATGTTCGGCATCATGTCAGATTGGGACATCATGATATGGAATTCAATGATAGCTGGATACGCTTCTAGTGAAAATATTGATTTGGCTTTTAGGATATTCAGTAAGATTTGGGAATCTGAATGTAAGCCAAATTCCATAACCCTGATGAGCATTCTTCCATTGTGTACCAAAATGGGGGTACTTGGACAAGGCAAGGTGGTTCATTGCTATGCAATTAGGAATGATCTTATGGTTGTTTCTGTCAGCAATTCCCTTGTAGATATGTATTGTAAATGTGGATGCCTAGAGCTTGGAGTGAAGGTCTTTGATCACATGATGGAAAGGAATGTTATTTCATATAACACAGTTATTTCTGCTTATGGGATTCATGGATGTGGAAAGAAAGCGTTGGTTCTCTTTGATCAAATGAAATCTCTAGCAATTAAGCCAACTAAAGTGACTTTTGTAGGACTCCTATCTGCCTGTAGTCATGCAGGCTTAGTTCGAGAGGGTTGGTCTCTGTACACTTCCATGATTAATGATTATGGTATGCTGCCCAACATGGAACACTATTCGTGCATGGTAGACCTTCTTGGTAGAGCAGGAAATATTGCTGATGCATGCAATTTCATCAGAAAGATGCCTGAGGAACCTAATGGATGTGTTTTGGGAAGCTTGTTTGCTGCTTGTAGAGTTCATGACGAGGTGGAGCTCGTTGATCTTCTTGGTTCGCAAATTTTTTATGGTAAGTTGGAAGATTCTGGATACCATATCCTCTTGTCCAACATATATGCATCTATGAAGAGATGGCAAGATGCATCAAGGGTTAGAACATTGATGAAAGAGAGGGGCTTGATTAAGAAACCTGGAAAGAGCTGGATTCAGATCTGTAATCATACTCATATATTTGATGCTAGGGATACCGCACACCTGGAGTTTGAAAAAATCATAGAGGTTATGGAAATTCTCTTATCAGAGATGACGATAGAGTGGTATATGCTGGATCAATATCTCGTTCTCTCACCTTGACCATGCTTATGAAGTCTGAATGAACTCTGTTTCGAAGTTCCAATTACGGTTCGACAAGAAACCAATCAGGATATTGTATGTCTGAATTTAGTTCTTGTACTATAGTGGTAATGTTATGTACCTTGCGTTCATAAGTTCTCAACTTATACTTTTCGTTAGAAGCAATGTTTTGATTCAACTTCTGAAGCAGTCTGCATTACTTTCTGCAAGAGAAGCTAAATTTTGAATTTTTTTCTTTTTCCTTTGGAGCATAGAAGTAGAGATATGAAGCTTGTATTTCAAATTTGTAAAACTTGTAGAATTCTCCATTCAAAAAGAAAAGCGAAATTGGGTTATTGTTTTTTTGTGGGGATAGCTGAACATAAATCCAATCAACCGTCCATAAAAAAATGATAAAAGAAAAATTAGGGTGTTCAATGCGTGGTGTTATAATTAGGATGATTATATACAGTGGAAAAACTAAATAAATGAACGATAAAAGAAGAAGAATGCATTTGCCAGTATTACTGTTATATGGACATAAGACTGCTTGAGGCTCTATTATGACTTGTTAATTTGATAGATTGCAATAACAGGGTAAGTGTTGGTGCTACTAAATTCTACCCAACTGTTGAATCAATTCCTTCTGGGCTCATGCCTGGGTAGTTGGATTTTAGATCTTAGTCTCTTACTGACTATTTTATGTACTATAATGAGATCCATCATTTTAAAGAACCAGAATCTCCTAATGAGTCTACACAGTGCGAAATCTAATAGAAATCTGAATGGTTAGATTTTCGTCTAATTCTTGCATCAAATGCCTGATCAGAATGGGTACTATATAGCTTTCGCTGGTCGATTTCTAGGTGTAGTCTCTAATGGGATGCAGATTTCAACTTACCGGGGTTACCTCAGTCACTGACCATTCTATTCTTGAGCACATTTTTCAAGCAGCTGAAGGATTATTTAATGGATATATACCACTTGAATATGGATTTCAAATTAAAATTTTTTCCTATAAAATCAAAGCAGGATCAGTGATTGATAAATGTATTTTATACATTTATTCGGACTCTAAAATATTGACATTTCATAATTCTTTTAATGGAAGTATAGCCTAATTTATTATACAATGTGTTTATTAGATGAAACTCAATGAATGGAAGTGAAATTGAAAGAAAGAAGCGAAAATTGGTGAAAAATGGTAAGATTCAAAGTTTGGGGGCTAAAGTGTAAATATTTAAAAGTTGTACCAAAGCTCACGATGAAGATTTGAGAATGCTAGTGATCAAATAGATACAACTAAAGGTCAAAAGGAATGAAAATATGGCCAAAATATTTTCACAAATCAATTTTTAACAGTACAAGGATGTCTAGATTTTTAGTTGGAGATTGAAACCAATTTTTGGCCCAGTAAACGTTCGAATTGAAAAGAAGCTATGCCTAGCAAAGTTGTAGCCATTTGAATTATCTTTCCAATGTATTTTGAATCGTCTTAATCAGATATCGGAAGAAAAAGTTATAACAAAAATATTGAAACAGGTGCATAATTTGGACAGCGACTCAGCGCTCAGGGGCTATACCACAAGCGCACAGGCGCTGCACTAGCCCAGAAAGACTCCGATTTTTGAAAAACTGTGTAAGGGAGTATAAATAGAATAAAAGAGGAACAATTTAGGGGTTCCACACATTGAGAAATGGGGATACAACCAGTGTTCTAAAATTCTTGAAAATGCGGCGCCTAGGCGCGGCGCGCGACAAAAACGAGTAGCTTTTGTGGTATGAGCATAAAAATGCGGTCAACGGTTTTTGTTGACCGCCTAGGCGCGCCTAGGCGACTCAATGCGCGCTAATGCATGCATAGGCGCGCAACAGGCAAGCCTATGCGCACCTAGGAGCGCATTGAGTCGCCTACATTTTTTTTTCCGGATATAATATAAAAAATTATTTTTTTAATATAAAAATCTATTTA